GACTGTCCTGTGTGCTGCAGGAATTTTATCTGATTAAAAACAATTCATTTGAGTAGATGTAATTTCCCCCTTCTATAGAGATTCTGAGAAGAACAACTTGCCCAAAATAAAATGGAGAGAAAGGTCTGAGCCAGGATTTCAAACCGTCTTACCTGTGTCCATAGTTTATGCTCTTTTCACTATCCTCCTGTCCTGCCTCTATGGAAGGATAAGATGATCTGAGATTATCGATCTGTCTGTCTGTCTATCTATCTATCTATCTATCTATCTATCTATCTATCTATCTATCTACCTACCTACCTACCTACCTACCAGCTATCTACCTATTCTATTTTATCTACCTACCTACTTACCTATCTATGCCAGCACAGGGCCTGACACATGGCAGATATGCAATAATTGATCACTAGAAATGGTTTAAGTCTCATCTTGCTTGGAAGTAGGTTATGAACAAGGCGGTCCTGTTGAATCCCTTATAGTCCTGGGATCCCAATATGTGGAAGCAAGAGGAGGTGAAGGTCATGGCAAGCTTGTTTCCTCTCAGCCCATTATCCTGCTCTTGTAATGTCATTTGCAAATTCCTGTAAGCACAAAGTAGCCACTTTCCAGTAGGGCAAATGCACCAAGGAGAAGGGTTATGTGCCTTTCCTCATGGCTAAACTTGACAATCATGGAGTTTCTCTTAGTCTCACAGAGGAGGAGAAGCACATTCACTGCTCACTTGCTCACTCATTTCCGTAGTTATGGAATAGTTAATAATCACCACCATTTACAGAAAGCCAGCTCTGTGTTAAGGGCTGTGCTGAAGATATCTTCACAACAGTCCTTCCGTAGGCTGTAGCTACAGCGACAGAGACAGAGCTAGAGAGAGCTTCCTGGCTGGTAATTAGGAAACTAAACACAGAGAACCTTAATAACTGACTTGCTTAAAGTCACCTAGCTTGTTAGTGGTGAAGCTTAGATTTGGACCTGGTTCTGCTGCTTCAAAGCCATTTCACTTCACTATGAGTATAGCGTTAGATAGCACAGTCATTTGTTGTCCAAAAGATGTTGGGGAGTGGCGACATCAAAGACGGTCCTTTTCATGCTGCCCAGAAAGAAATGCCTTTCCCTTAAAGAAAAGGAAACTCACTAGACTCTCTGACCAAGTTTAGGTTGTAAAATTGAGGTGTTGACAAAAAGCCCATGGATCAATTAGAAGACCTCTCACAGTCTCGCTCTCTCTCTCGTTCTCTCTTTTTATTTTTTGTGAGACAGAGTCTTGCTCTGTCTCCTAGACTGGTGTGCGGTGGTGTGATCTTGGCTCGCTGCAACCTCTGCCTCCAGGGTTCAAGTGATTCTCCTGCCCCTGCCTCAGCCTCCTGAGTAGCTGGAATTACAGGCATGCACCATCATGCCTGGCTAATTTTTTTTTTTTTTTTAGTAGAGGTGGGATTTTGTCATATTGGCCAGGCTGGTCTCGAAGTCCTGGCCTCAAGTAATCCGCCCACCTTGGCGTCCCAAAGTACTGAGAATACATGTGTGAGACACTGCATCCGGCCTCTCAGAGTCTCTTTTAACCCCTGTATTTTGCTTGTCATTTCCTTATAAGAGTATGGTGGTGGACAGAGTTTTGATCTAGAGTCAAAACTTGGGGTTTGATTCTCAGCCATGCTGTCACAGGCTGTGTGGCTCTGGCTGGGTAGGACATGTCATCGCTCTGAGCCTTGGTCTCTTCCTTGTCATAGGGATTACATGAGGTAATTGATGAGAAGAACTTGGGCCTCACTGAATGGTCAATAATTGGTAGAAATCAGGTCACAAAATCTATGCGTGGGATTTTGGCATCAGCTGTCACAGACAGAGTTGTTATTTGGGCTTTTTCCTACATCCAATTTCTTCCTCAAAAGAAAACCACAAGCAAAAAACAAGAAGCGCAGAGGCAAAATAGGCTTCAACTCTCCCTACAGAAATGTTTCTGAGGGTTATTAGCTCAGCCATTTTCCATTAGCAAAAATAAATCGCTCAGAAACATCTGGGTCACATTCGTCAGGAATTTGCTCTGTGCCAGCATTTCATTTTCAAACCCAGAGGACGTTTTGGACCTATTGCCATGCCCTTGAGAAAACAGAAGGGTTCCAGAGCCCACCAGAGCTCCCACTTCCCTATCTCTCTTTTTCATTTCTGAAAAACTCAGAGGCAGTGGCAGCCAAACAACGTTTGGGTGGGCTGGTAAAGAAAATCCTTTTCTGGCTGCAGACAACTCCCTTTCTGCCAGCTCTCAGGCCTGTGCACCTGGCCCCGAGCCCTGAGGGTGAGGATTTGGGGTGGTGGTGGGAGCTAGAGACTCATGGTGCCATGCGGACAGGCAGTGAGGCGTCTCCAGGTCAGAAGGCATGGGGTTGCTATGGCAGGACCCCTCTGCCATGGGAAATTTCCTGCTGTTTAGAGCTAGCCCTTCTGCCCGCAGCTCTTGGTTCCCAAGTAGTTCTCATAGTTCAGCACAAAATTTGTCAGCTGAGGCAGAGATTCAGCCAACCTGAGCAGGTCCCTGAGGGGCTGATGTACTCTGGAGATGGTTGTCTGTGCCTGGATGTCTCCAGTCGGTGCCATGGGAGACAGGTGAGCTCAGAAGGATGTAATTGTTTACTGGCCTTCAGCCACGCAAAGTCAACTAATAACTACATGTTCATGGTATTTGCCCTAAGAGGGTAAAGCCTGGGCAGTGAAGCAGGGGGTGAGGAGAGGATGCAGAGGGGACGTGATTCAAGGGGAGCAGTGCTGGGGGCAGAGGCAAAAGTGGGGAGCTTAGGGATCAATTAGGCAAAAAGATTCTGTATTGATTTTTCTATGAAATGACTATTTTTCCACTTATACTGAAAAACAACACTCGGCCTGTCAAAGGCCATCATTCTAAATGTGTACAGTCAGAACACCAACTAACAGCTGAGCGGAATTAATTACCTCTCCCCAAGACAGCTTCAACCGTTTGTTAACTGTTTTATGCCTCGAGCCCTTCACTTCTCAGCATCATCCTCCTGTCTCTTCTGCCAATTTCACACCTACTGCCGGGTAAATCTTCATAAAGCACGCTTCCTGCCCTGCCGCTCCTGTGCAATGTTTCCTTATAGCCTGGGGAATCAAATCTGGGGGAAAACAAATTCTGTGGCTCATAGTTTCCAGCTTCCCGCCCACAGCTGCCTGGTGGAAGACAGAAGAATTGTCCTCCCCAAGTTCTTCAGGTAGGGGCTGACTTTACCAACTTTGAAGGCTGACAATGCCACCTGCACCAGCTCTTCCCCCACTTTCCAGTCCCTTCCTTTCCCTAAGGCCACTCTGAAGAACCATCCCCAGCCTTACCTAACCTGCAGTCCTCTGCTATTACTTACTATCACCACTCTGTCTCCTCTAGTTCCCACTGGCTCCCCAGCCTCCAACTCACTGGGCTTCCCATGGTCTAAGTTTGTGACATGTTAATTTAGCCACCTTATTTATATTGAGGAAACACAGTACCAGCATTTACCCATTGTCCAAACCTGAAATTTAGCTAAAATCTGCATCCCAGGCAAAAGAGAGGATGGCTCAGTTGAAGAATAGGGGTGGATGGTGTACAGGGGAGATGGGACCTTGCATTGCCCTTCAAGTAACAAGGGGATGGGTTCCCAACCCTTGATATTCATTCTTGCTTGAAGGAATTGACAGGCTACCACGGAAAAAGCACTGAACTTGAGAGCTGAGCAGCTTGGTTCTGCCAACTTTCTATAACTTTGGGCAAACCACTCTCCTCTCTGCCTCAGATTCACTACAGCTTAAAAAAGATTGACCAAGATGCCCTCTAAAGTTCTGAGTGTGACTCTCTAGAAGACCCAGACTCATTGGATTAACACCATTTGTAAGTGAAGTTCCCACCTGAGGGATGGTCTTGGTTGGTTCCCTAGCCTACCTATTATAGAATCGTCTCCAGGGTTGGTAGCTGCCCTTAGTTTCCCAGGAAAGATCTCAGCTACCTGCCCTCTATCCTGGCATGATGCTCTGGGATTAATCTTCCAGAGACAGAGATAAAAATAAATCATGCGCTGCTCCCCAATCAGTCTGCACATCTTGTTCCTCATAAGCAGCAAGACCAAATGAATACAGGGCTGTTGAGGCTCCTGGGTCCTGATGCGGAGGCAGGGGGCCCAGGCAGGCATATGGCTAGCAGGCCGGCTGTACTCAGAGTGTTATTTTCAAAACTGAAGTGGAATCTGCTTCAGGCCTGAGCATGGTAGGTGGTCTCCGTTCTTGGATCATAAATCACTGAAGGTAACTATTTTTCCTGGCCTCACTTGTGACCCAGTATAATGTTATTATGATTGGAAGGATGGTGGAAAAGGGATTTTTTTTCTGCTGTTCTAATCTCCAGGGTATATAAATCTTTGTACTTTCACAGTCCCAGGGACCATGTGTGATGTTGTAGAGAGCATACAGGAATGACTCCCTCAGGTGCTGGTGAGGTTCTCTGCCGCTAACTCACTTGTATTTTCTAAGCCACAATTTTTCTCATCTGTAACAGGAGTTGTAGCTAGTGGTTCTCATTCTAGGCCTCGATGATTTTCTGAAAAAAGGTGTTCATGAAACCAACTCAAAGGATCAAGTCTACTAATAGCTTTGACTGACATTGGAGTCCTCTTGTAATTTGGTCTCCAGTGGTCCTTCTGCCTTCATTTCCAACCATCTCTCTCCTCTGCTCTCTCATTTCACCTAGTTCTCTTCAATGTGGCTCACTGTTTCACACTTCTAAGCTCTGGCATGCACGGATTCGTCTACTTAAAATTTCTATTTTAAAATCTTCTGTACCTGATGAAATCTTTTCATTTAAAGCCCATTTCCCATCTTACCTTCTCTGTAGAGACTTCCTAATCTCCTTCTGGCCTGATGGGTTAATGATTTTGTTCTCTGGGTGCTCCCAGAGCTGCAGGTAATTACCTCCATCATAGTGTTCATGTACAGAATCTGACACCAATCAGACCCTGGGCTGAGTTCCCTCCACAGTCTCCAGTGTCAAAAAGTTCCTATGTTCATAATCTGTGGTCCCAAAATGTGACTGTATTTGGAGATAGGACCTGTAAGGGGAAATTAACATAAATGAGATCATTACAGTGGTCCTTAGTCCAGCCTGACTGGGGTCCTTAAGAGAAGAGCAAGTTTGGACACAGATTGGTTGTCCTTATGAGAAGAGGAGTTTAGATACAAACATTGTAGAGGCAAGATGATGTGAAGAGACAGAGAAGATGCCATCTACAAACCAAGGAGAGAGGCCTGGAACAGATTCTTCCTGTATAGTCCCCAGAAGGAACCAACACTGCTGACACCTAGTCTTGAACTTTTGGCCTCTAGTACTCTGAGAAAATAATGTCTGTTGTGTAAGCCACTCAGTCTGTGGTACTTTGTTAAGGCAGCCCTCCCTTGCCAGCCAAGACGGACCCTCTCCACACATGGTTCCCATGAGTCTCCACCTCGAGGCGGGGAGCCCCTGGAGGCCCTTGAAGGCAGGGTCTGTGTTTTATTCTTATTATTTTTTAATGTTTCAAAATCCAGAATTCATTGTTTCTCAAAGCACGTCTCAGACCTCTTGTACCAGAATCAGTGTTTTCTAAACTGTAGTTTTGGTCACAAAATTAGCATAGTGAGTCACAACTAGCATTAAAAAAACATGAATCAGATTAAAAAACAAGAGCCCAGAATAGGCACATCTGCGTGCCTTGGAGGTCGTAAGGGAAATTATTGGGTAGTTATTGTTTTATAAAACTTCTGTTTTAGTTGTGTACACTGGGTCACGATATAATCTTTTAAAAAATATTGTGGAGAAAGTTGAAAAACACTGAGCCGAAGGTACTTGTTAAAAACACAGATTTTTTTTTTCTTGCTCCACTAAAACTTTACGCCCGTTGATTAACAACTCCCCATGTTCCCCTCCCCCAACCCCTGGCAACCACCATTTACTCTGATTCTATGAATTTGACTATTTCAGGTACCTTGCATAGGGGGAATCATGCAGTATTTGTCCTTCTGTGACTGGATTATTTCACTTAGCATACTGTTTTCAAGGTTCATCCATAGTGTTGAATATTTTTTTTGTTTTTGAGATTGAGTCTTGCTCTGTCACCCAGGCTGGAGTGCAGTGGCATGATCTTGGCTCACTGCAACCTCCGCCTCCTGGGTTCAAGTGATTCCCTTGCCTCAGCTTTGAGTAGCTGGGATTACAGGCACGTGCCACCATGCCCGGATAGTTTTTGTGTTTTTTAGTAGAGAGGGGGTTTCGCCATATTTCCCAGGCTCGTCATGAACTCCTGGGTTCAAGCGATCCACCCGCCTCAGCCTCCCAAAGTGTTGGGATTACAGGCATGAGCCACCATGTCTGGCCAGTATATAGCACGTTTTCTTTATCTACCTATAGTCAATAAAAATGTACTGTACATTTAAAACTTTAAGAGGGTAGATCTCATGTTAAGTATCCCACAATGCTTTTAAAAATGAAGCTATTTGGACATTACCCCAGACCTACTGAATTTGAATCACAAGTAGGTGTGGCCTTGGAATCTACATTGTGTCTAGAAAATTCTTATGCACATTAAAATTGGAAAATTATTCCTAGTACCTAAGGCCAGTGTGAGGCACAGAATTATCACAAAATCCATATTTATTTGAGCCAGCCTAGCATCATTTTGGTGCCAGTTATTTGTATTTTCATACTATCCAAAGAACTGGTGGAATAATAGCTAAGAAGAGTATCAATGCAAAACCAATATAAAGATTACTGGATCAATTTCTGATATATACCTCAAAATAATTGAAAGGAATTTAAATTACTTGCTAAAAGACCTAAAAGCTTTTATGTGTCATTTTCTCATTTATCTTTGAACCCACCCTAGGAAATGGGCATCACTGTTGCCATTTTTTTTGATGATGAATCTGAAATTTAGAGAGAAGTGACATGCCAAGGTCACACCACTAGGAAATGGCAGAGCTAGGCTGTAAATCCAAACCTCATTCCATGCTGCCTGACATTGGTCCTTGGTTCTCCTGAGACCCTTTCTGGCCGTGGCTATTGATGAGGCTCTTAAAAGAAGTCAATGCTGTTCCTGGCTGCTCCTGGGAGATTGGACTTCCCATTCTGACTCAGAGAAAAAGCATCTTCCTGTGGTGGGGCCAGGTAGAGCCCCACAGGGACTACCAGGGGCAAACCAGTCCATGTATTTGGCCTAGGCTGTGAGAGACTTTTACCTATCATGGACCCCCAAAACACAGGTTTTGCAGTGACTAACAGTACCCACTGTCAAAAAGCCAACTCCTTTTCTGCCACAATGAGTCAAGAATGAATGGTTTGAGGCTTGATTTAGAGACAAGACATTTAACTCAGAGAACTCAAAGAGACCACAAACCAGGGAGGTTCCAGGCCCCGCTGATATGGTTTGCTTCTGTGTCCCCACCCAAATCTCATCTTGTAGCTCCCATAATTCCCACATGTTGTGGGAGGCACCTGGTGGGAGATGATTGAATCATGGGTGTGGGTCTTTCCTGTGCTGTTGTCATGATAGTGAATGGGTCTCATGAGATCCGATGGTTTTAAAAATGGGAGTTCCCCTGTACAAGCTCTCTCTTTGCCTGCTGCCATCCGTGTAAGATGTGACTTGCTCCTCCTTGCCTTCTGCCATGATTGTGAGGCCTCCCCAGCCATGTGGAACTGTAAGTCCAATAAACCTCTTTCTTTTGTAAATTGCCCAGTCTTGGATATGTCTTTGTCAGCAGCATGAAAATGGACTAATATACCCACCCACTTCTCCCAAACCAGTTTCCCATGAGTAGCAGCATCTGAGCTGGGTCTCCACTTTGAGGATTTGCCTCATTGCCTCTGGTTTCTGTGACCATTGCAGCACCCATGAGCCAGGTGTTCTGCATTTGTTATCACCTTTAATTCTAACACCACTGCTGTTTCCCAAGGGGTCAATAACCTGCCTAGCGGCCACAGCTAAGAAATACAAGGGATGGGATTTGAACCCAAGACTGTGTACTGTGAGTCTGTACTCTTTCTTCTGCATAGACTTGCTTTTCCTGGTAGAACTTAGCTTGTCCCTGTGCCTATGCTCAGCCAGCTTGTCCCAAGACTAAATTGGGCCATGGGGCCTGGGGGATGGGCTTAGACAGTCCAGGGAACTATGAAGGGTCCTGAGGTCATTTCATTAAAGGCACATTTTGGCACATGAATACCATGAGTCCTGCTCATTCCTTCCTTGGTCCATCTGACCAGGCTCCAGGCAATGGAGACATCCCCTTCTCTTTTCCTCAGTGACTTCCTGAGGTCTGCGGATCAAAAAGCACCTGGAGGAGACAAGTGATTCTGTACCCAGAATCAGAGAAATCTGATTGCTATGTTGTCTCTGCCACTCACTATGAGATCTTAGGAAATTCCTCTGTTCCTTCTGTGCCTCAGTTTCCTCATCTGTACAATGAGGACAATTCTGTCTTCCTCACAGTGCTATTGTCGGACAATAGGGTTGAAAATCTCTTGTACACATTAAGCATTTAAGACATGATTTAAACACTGATTTAGTCAGATAAAGTGGTTAGGAGATCTTCTCAGTGAGTACAGGGTCAGACAAAATGACAGAAATGTAGCCAAGTCTAAGTCAAACGTCACCATCAGCACGTCACCATCACTCATGTTCCCCCACTGCGACCCCACCACTGCTGCTCCATTACCACCATAACCAACAATGGCCCAGCACAGTCAGTGTCAACCGTAACAACACCACTATTCCCATCACTACCCCACCCTCTGCTACCACTACTGTAGACACACACATCCGAGTTGTTTGTTCTGTCACCTTCACTATCACCTCTGCCTCCATCATATCACCATTGCTATATTACCGCCACCACCATCACCAACACCACCATATCACTTATCCATGAAAACAATATACTACAAGGTTCATTCCAGCCCCAGTACAATGCCTGACCCGAAGTAGGTTCTCAGGAAATTTTTGCAAAATGAATGAAAGGATAAATGAGTGCCACACATTATATAATCAGAACTGCCAGGAAGCAAGAGTTTCCACCCCTTATAAACCTTCTGTAGATGTTTCAGTGGCCAATTTTTTTCTACGTCTTAGATCCTTCACCTCTTTTTTTTTTTTTTTTTTTAAATTTCAAAGCTTCTGGGATACAAGTGGTTTTTGTTTATATGGATGAATTGTACAGTGGTGAATTCTGAGATTTTAGTGCACCCACCACCCAAGTAGTATACATTGTACCCAATATGTGGTTTTTTTATCCCTTACCCTCCTCTTCCTCTCCCCGCTTCTGAGTCTCCAATGTCCATTTTACCACTCTGTATGCCTTTGCATACCGATAGCTTAGCTCCCACGTATAAGTGAGAACATATGTTGTTTGGTCTTCCATTCTTGAGTTACTTCACTTAGAATAATGGCCTACAGCTCCATCTAAGTTGCTGCAAAAGACATTATTTTGCTCTTTTCTATGGCTGAGTTATATTCCATAGTGTATATATACCACATTTGCTTTATCCACTCATAGGTTGATGGGCACTTAGGTTGGTTTCATATCTCTGCAATTGTGAATTGTGCTGCAGTAAACATATGTGTGCAGGTGTCCTTTTGATATAAACACTTCTTTTCTTTTGGGTAGATACCCAGTAGTGAGACTGCTAGATTGAATGGGAGATCTGCTTTTAGTTCTTTGAAAAATCTCCATACTGTTTTTCATAGATGTTGTACTAATTTATGTTCCTACCAGCAGTGTATATGCATTCCTTTTTCACCACATCCAGGCCAACATCTATTGTTGTTCAACTTTTTAATAATGGAAATCCTTGGCCTCTTAAAGGCTCAGTCCTGCTGGACCAACTCAGGGCCTCACTGATGGGTAAAAATGATGAGGACAAAAGGTAGAACAATGTAACTGGAGACATCAGCATTTGACCCTGATTGTTTATTTCTCAGAAAATCACAGTATTAAACCAAACTAAAGAAAAGTCATTCCTTGGGCTGGGTGTGGTGGCTCACGCCCACTTTGGGAGGCCAAGATGCAATGATCACTTGAGCCCAGGAGTTTCAGACCAGCCTGGGCAAAATAGCGAGGCCTTGTCTTTACAAAAAATAATAAATTAGCCAGGCATGGTGGTGCACATTTGTAGTCCCAGCTACTCTGAACGCCGAGGCCGGAGGATCCCTTGAACTCAGGAATTTGAGGCTGCAGTGATCTATGATCATCATTGCACTCCAGCCAGGTGACAGAGCAATACCCTGTCTCAAAAGCAAACAAACAAACAAAAACCCTTTTCTAAGATTCCAACAGTTGTCTATGTATTTATGTGTAAACCTCAGGTATTTTCTAGCTGCAACTTGGTTTCTACCTTCTATTCCTTCCTATCTCCTGGGGGAATTGTTGAGATTGTTTTTTTCCTAGCAACAGCTCCCTCTGGTTGGATTCAAAATTAATATCACCTTTGAAAATTACACTTGAAAACATGCCAGGCCATTCTCTATCCCAGGAGGCAGGCAAACAATGAGATGACCAAGCATTCCATTCAGTTCCTGTATCATAAATCATAACTCACTCGGGCCAGTGGGTAGAAGGTGACTCTGTAGCTGATTTAAAGAACAATTTTCAAATACAGGCTGCTAGCTCATTGCTGAGGCAAAGACAGGACTCAAAGCCCAGGTGCCTTTTCCATCCTTTTCCTAGCAATAGGTCCTGCCTTGACACCTAAGCCTGGCTGCCTCTGTGGGGCCGGACAAAAACTTATCCATGCCTTTTCAAGCACGAGTCATTGATCCTTTTATGTGTGTCCTCTGGATCTCTTTTGGGAACATGGTAATGACTGAATCTGAGATCATGGCTGTCCTTGAGGTGTTCACTCAAGGCATCTGGTCCCCAAGATGTTCCCAAGGTACCTTTCCTCTTGCAGGCTTTTTTGATCACCTTGTGAATTCACCGAGCATTCCATAGACTGTTTGCTCATTCCTCTCCATTGTGTCTTTGGCCCTTTCCCTCTCTTTCATTATCTCCTGGGCTGTGGTGTCCTGCCCGATGGTGTTGAGGTCATTGTATTAGGCAGTGTCCCAGAAACAATGATCATAGCAGTATTTTTAGAGGAGTCCGTGTGAGGTCATGGAAATAGCATGCAGTGTTCAGTGATCCAGGCATGGGACTCAAACTCTGCCTTGTCCCTTTACCAGCTGGGAGAGTGACCTAAACCTATAGTGCCTCAGTTTCCCCATGAGCCCGTGAGCATGATTATACTACTCACAGAGTTATGGTGATTTAATGATGCAACATAAGCAGTTGCTTAGAGCAATTCATGGCACTTGCTAGATCACTCAAAAATAGCCCATTTACTTCCCACTTTCCTTGAGCTTTTATTACAACATCTTGTTTGGAGATAATTAAAATGCAGCTGTGATTGCTTTCATGAGGAGCCAAGGGGCAATATTTCTCAAGTAATTATCGCTGAAGGAGAGTCAATGTGGGAAGGATGATGTCAGATACATACCAGGTGACACAGCCTCTGGGGTCCTTCATTCCTCCTGTGTCTACGGTGCTGGGTTGAGGTGTTGCAGATGTGATCTTCATTTGGTGCTACATGGTTTCAGCCTCTGTGTGGCTCCTTCCACAGGTGGGACCATCTGACCTCCTGTTGGTATCCCTCAGACATCCCCAGTGTACTGTCAGAACTGGAGAGGAAGATGTTAGGAAGCTGCCACTGCACAGTACTTGGTGGGGGAGACTATACTGGCTATGGAGTCACTCAGGCCTGGGTTGAAGCCTCATGATGTCCTGTACTAGTTATCTGAGCTTGACAAGTCACCCATCCCTCCGAACCTCAATTTTCTCAGCTATGAACTGAGGTTGGCAACATCTACTTTTCTCCATGATAATTCAAGTGACAAGGAAGGGAAAATCCAATTCCAAATGGCCTCATGATAAAAGAAACATTGCATTAGATAACTAAAAAGTCTAGAGGTGAGACTCAAATATAGTTTGATCAGAGGTCTGGCTCCACTCCTCTGCATAATTTTATTCCCATCCTGTCTTCTGTGTTGGCTTCATCTTTAGCTTGGCTTCCTTTATGTATCAAGATACCTACATGTAGCAGCTTTCTCAGCTTGGATTGGACCATCTTAGCCGACAGGATCAGTGCTGGCATTCAGATAATTTTCAGCCCAGCAAGCAGCTGGGGTCAGTGCTACTCAAATCATGGGCTATGCAGTGAGAGAGAGATGAGAGATGAAATAATGTTGGGAAGACAACTACCACACTACTCAGAGTGGGATTTTGAAGACTGAGGAACCACCATGATAACACTCACAGTTGATGGTTTTTGAGAACTGAGTCTGTGTCAGGCAGATAGTATCTTGCTTAATCTTCCCCAAGACCCAGGATCATGAATGTAACTATTAATAGTACTCTCAGTACATACCAATCTCTCCTCTATCATGCACCTCAGATTCCCCATCTGTGTTATCCATCCACTAGAATTATTAATCTGTATGGTCAACCCCTCCCCCAAAATGTTCATATTTTAACCCTATCAGCTGTGAATGTTACTTATATAGATAGCAAAGAGCCTTTGCAGATATAATTGGGTTAAAGATCTTGAAATGGGCCGGGTGCGGTGGCTCACGCCTGTAATCCCAGCACGTTGGGAGGCCAAGGCAGGCAGATTACAAGGTCAGGAGATCGAGACCATCCTGGCTAACACAGTGAAACCCCGTCTCTACTAAAGAACACAAAAAATTAGCCGGGCATAGTGGCGAGCGCCTATAGTCCCAGCTACTTGGGAGGCTGAGGCAGGAGAATGGTGTGAACCTGGGAGGCGGAGTTTGCAGTGAGCAGAGATTGTGCCACTGCACTCCAGCCTGGGCAACAGAGTGAGACTCTATCTCAAAAAAAAAAAAAAAAAAAAAGATCTTGAAATGGGCAGATCATCTTCGATTACCTGAATGGACCCTAAATAGAATGATGGTCTCCTTAAGAGAGGGGTGCAGTGGGAGATTAGCAGAAGAGGAGAAGGTGATGTAATGATGGAAGCAGAGTTTGGAGTGGTGCATTTTGAAGGCAGAGGAAGGAGCCACAAGTCAAGATACACAGGCGGCCACTAGAAGCTGGGAAAAGGCAAGGAAACCAATTCCTTCCCCTCAGAGCTTACAGAAGAAACCAGCCCTGGCAATACTTTACCTTTAGCCCAGTGAGACTGGTTTCAGACTTCTGACTTCTAGAACTGTGAGAGAATGAATTGGTATTGTTTTCAGCCACTGCGTTTATGATAATTCATCACAGCAGCAATAGGATACAATATATAATAATAATAGCATCAAGCCAGACACCTATCTAAGTGCTTTTGTGTTCCTACTTAATTCTCACAATAATGGTTGGTGGTCAGCAATGTCCTTACTTTCATTTTATAGATGGGCAAACTGAATCAAGAAGACATTATACAATTTGTCAAACACATACCATTCAGATGTGCTGGAGTCAGGGCTTATATCAGACTATCAGGTATCTGATATCTGATTGGCACTGCCATCCATTGCTCTGTTGGTTTATCATGCATAATTTCTCCCTTATCTATTCCTTCCCTCTTGCCAACTGTTTGCCCACCCTGTGTTTGTTCGGTAGACCAGATTTTCACTGTTCTTAGCACACCTCCTTATGCCAGACTCTGTCATGCCCAATAAGCAGAACAAATGTCCTGACTTCTATCTTCTCTCATCCCAATAACCAACACTTCTTCCACCTAGTGCCAAATGTCTACATGTAAAACAGGTGATCCCTTTGGTTAGTTTTATTGGCCTGGGGCTCTGTTGAAAGGGCAGTGTAATCAGGCAAATGTGATGCAGTGCCAGCAACCTGGCACCCACCGTGTTTCCCAACTACTCCAGAAGGCAAGTTTTCTTGTTATCCCCATTTCACAGATGTGGCAATGGAGACTAGAGACACCAGGGAAGTCATTCAACTGGTCATTGGTGAGGGTTGCATCCAAACCTAGGCAATGTGCCATCAGACCCTGTGACCTTGTCCATCACCTGCAGCTCTAACTGCACAGGGCTTAGGCAAGTTTAGTCTAAAGGTAAACTCCATAAGAGTACAAAGAAGATCATCTGGACACAAGCCTCACAGCACATGTGTAGGTGCTCTCTGCTCTCTGGGCATCAGTGCCTCATCTACAAAGTGGAAGAAAATGATAACAACTGCCTTATCGAGTTATTATAATAATGATAAAGCATATAGAGTTCATGTCTTACTCTATGACAGAAAATAAGTGCTCAAAATTAGTTACTGTTTTATACACGTTTGCTTAAACATCGTATATACATAAGTGTGAGAGGCAAATGTGGTTGCTGGTAGGGATGGACAAATTCTCACCATTATTGTGAGAATTAAGTAAGAATACAAATTAAGTAAGAATTAAGTGAGAATTAAGTAAAAATACAAATTAAGTGAGAATTAAGTAAGAATACAAATTAAGTAAGAATTAAGTGAGAACTAAGTGAGAATTAAGAATACAAAAACACTTAGATAAGTGTCTGGCTTGATCGCTATTATTATTATATATTATATCCTATTGCTGCTGTGATGAGCTATCATAAACACAGTGGCTGAGAACAATACCAGTTCATTCTCTCACAGTTCTATCTGTAAGATAGAACTATGAGGAAGGAATATCAACCACGAGCCAAGTCAAGAGCCGTGAGACAGACCCTCTAATAGCAGGTGTTGCTGTGGAGTACAGATGCCTCTTACTCAGACAGCTCCCTGCTCCTGAACAAGGAGCAGCAGAGATGAATTTATGTAATTATATGTTGCAAGTTGTGCCTGGTGCCCAGCTTGTGAGTAAGGCAGATCCAGGAGAGGCAGCTGAGAACAGCTTTCCTGGAGTCAGGCATAGGGTGGGGAAGGTCTGATGGAGAAGATAGACGGCCATTTTGCCTTAAAGACACCATAGTGGCATTGACTTGTGGTATTGAGTGGCTTGGAGAAGTTGGTCCATGGGGGTTGGGATTGGGGAGTGAAGTTAGGGTGGATGCTGGGTCTGTGAAGTGGGGAATCCACAGACTAGGAAGTTGGGAGGTAGAACAAGTCAAAAGTAAGGAGGCAGTGAGCCCCACTGTACTCGGATGCTTGCAGTATGGGAGAATTGCTGTTCACATGTTGTCTGAGAAAGCTATGGATTATCTCTTGCAGACAGAACTAGCAGATGCTGGGCATGGAACTGCTTCGTGAGTTTGAATTTTGAGTTTCATCAAAGGCTTTGACACTGTACTGCCCAAAGCAGAAACTTCTATGAATTCATAATGTGTTGGATTAATGCCAAATTTTTTTCCCACCAAAGACACCTGTAAATATTTTCCCACAGTGAACTGCATGTTTCAAATAATCTTTTAATACAGCACATTTATTAAATTATACTTTTTTTGTTTTTATGTGAAATAACTAGCTTGCTAAGTGGAGATATAACTTCAGAAAAAAGAGAAAACGACTCTTTTAATCAGAAAATGTAGGATATGCTTGCCAGCCTTTTCGAAATATTACAAGTAGCTCAAGTGTAGCTTCTAACTCTCTTCATGGTCCCCAACTAGGAAACACTAAGAGTAAAGGAAGAAACGCAGATACAGAGTTTAAATTTCCTATCTTTATGTGTTGACACAAATGGACATAAACACTATATATTAAGCCTATGTGTTATGTATAAAGTAATGAGGAAAAATGTCTGTGAAGGTTAAATTTTTTTTTTTTTTTTTTTTTGAGATGGAATCTCGCTCTATTGCCCAGGCTGGAGTGCAGTGGCCCCATCTTGGCTCACTGCAACCTCCGACTCCCAGGTTCAAGCGATTCTCCTGCCTCAGCCTGCTGAGTAGCTGTGATTATAGGCATGCGCTACCACACCCAACTAATTTTTTTTTTTTTTTGAGAGGGAGTCTCGCTCTGTCACCCAGGCTGGAGTGCAGTGGCCAGATCTCAGCTCACTGCAAGCTTCGCCTCCTGGGTTTATGCCATTCTCCTGCCTCAGCCTCCCGAGTAGCTGGGACTACAGGCACCCGCCACCTCGCCCGGCTAGTTTTTTTTTGTATTTTTTAGTAGAGACGGGGTTTCACCATATTAGCTAGGATGGTCTCGATCTCCTGACCTCGTGATCCGCCCGTCTCGGCCTCCCAAAGTGCTGGGATTACAGGCTTGAGCCACCGCGCCCGGCCCCAACTAATTTTTGTATTTTTAGTAGAGATGGGGTTTCACCATGTTGGTCAGACTGATCTTGAACTCTTGACCTCGTGATCCGCCCACCTTGGCCTCCAAAAGTGCTGGGATTATAGGCGTGAGTCATTGTTCCCGGCCTGTGAAGGTCAATTTTACATGTCAACTTGGCTAGGCTATAGTGCCAGTTATTTAGTCAAATATTAATCTAGGTGTTGGGAAGTTTTTTTTTTTGAAATGGAGTTTCGCTCTTGTCTCCCAGGCTGGAGTGCAACGGCATGATCTTGGCTCACTGTAACCTCCACCTCCTGAGTTCAAATGATTCTCCTGCCTCAGCCTCCTGAGCAGCTGGGATTACAGGCACCTGCCACCACACCCAGATAATTTTTGTATTTTTAGTAGAGATGGAGGTTTCACCATGTTGGCCAGGCTGATCTCGAACTCCTGACCTCAGGTGATCCACCCACCTCAGCCTCCCAAA